CTGAACGGCAGAGAGGAGTGTTGGATTTTTCACTTAGGATGAGCCTGGGTCGTAGGGCAGGGGGATTAAAAGGTCAGTATGTGTTTAAATTACACCAGTGTTTGCAGCAAGATGGGTGGAACTAGAGATTATCATACTAAGTGAAGTGAGTCAGAAAGAGAAAGAGAAAGACAAATACCATATGACATCACTTATATGTGGAATCTAAAATATGACACAAATGAACCTATCTACGAAACAGAAACAGACTCACAGACATAGAGAACAGACTTGTGGTTGCCAAGGGGGAGGGGGTGGGGGGAGGGATGGATTGGGAGTTTGGGATTAGCAGATGCAAACTATTATATATAGAATGGATAAACAACAAGGTCCCACTGTATAGTACGGGGAACTATATTCAGTACCCTGTGATAAACCATAATGGACATATATATAAACTGAATCATTTTGCTGTACAGCATAAATTCACACAACATTGTAAATCAACTACACTTCAATAAAAAAATTAAAAATTACACCAGTTGGGTCATTTCTGGAGACGTGGATGGATCTAGAGACTGTCATACAGAGTGAAGTAAGTCAGAAAGAGAAAAACAAATATCATACACTAACACATATATGTGGAACCTAGAAAAATGGTACAGATGAACGGGTTTGCAGGGCAGAAATAGAGACACAGATGTAGAGAACAAACGTGTGGACACCAGAGGGGCAAAGCGGTGGGGTGGGGGGAGGGATGAATTGGGAGATTGGGATTGACATGTATACACTAATATGTATAAAATGGATAACTAATAAAATGGATAACTAATGCTGTATAAAAAAATAAAATAAAATTAAAAAAAAAAAAAAGATTACACCAGTGTTTAACGCAGTGTGGAAAGATTTCCCTAAATTGCCGCATGATGTTTCAGGACCTGAGGGGTAGAAAAACCCAGTACAGTTCCCGCTTGGTATCCAGGGGGATTGGTTCCAGGACAAACCCCCTGCCCACGACCTGGGGATACCAGAATCCATAGATGCTTAGGACCCTGATATAAAATGGCATAGTGTTTGCATATAACCTACACACATCCTGCCATAAACTTTTTTATTTTTAGTATAAATTTTTTTATTTTTATTTATTTTTGGTTGCATTGGATCTTTTTTGCTGAGTGCAGGCTTTCTCTAGTTGCGGCAAGCAGGGGCTACTCTCTGTTGCGGTGTGTGGGCTTCTCATTGCGGTGGCTTCTCTTGTTGCGGAGCATGGGCTCTAGGTGTGCGGGCTTCAGTAGTTGTGGCACGCAGGCTTCAGTAGTTGTGGCTCACGGGCTCTAGAGTGCAGGCTGAGTAGTTGTGGCGCACGGGCTTAGGTGCTCCACAGCATGTGGGATCTTTCCGGACAAGGGCTTGAACCCGTGTCCCCTGCATTGGCAGGCGGATTCTTAACCACTGCGCCACCAGGGAAGCCCTCTCCCATATACTTTAAATCATCTCTAGATTACTTACAACAGCTAATACAGTAGAAGTGCTATGTAAATAGTTTTAAATGCAATGTAAATGATACGTAAATAGTTATAAATTCAAGTTTTGCTTTTTGGAACTTTCTGGAATTTTTTTTCTCCTGAGTATTTTCCATCCATGGTTGGTTGCAAGGCAGGAGATAGATGGGTCCCAGGCTGGGCAGGTGGAGTTTGTCCCCTGTGGACAGACACTCCAAAATAGCAGGAGGGAGGAGAAGCTAAGCCCTGCCCAGAAAAGAGACCACATATTTCTCATTCTCGAGGTCAAGAATACCTTCCTGACTACACACGCACAGAAACGCTCCTTGAAGGTCAAAAAGGGAGGGAGTGCCACCGATATAGAAGGTGATGTCAACCTACCCATAGGCCAGTTAGCCAGAAACCATCTTGCCTAAGAGATGTGCGCCCACACATGGGAGGACCCTGAGATAAACCAAATTTGGACTCAGAACCAGGCAAAGCAAGATGACTGGCCAAAGGAGACCCAGAAGAAATGCCCCATATGAGTGATACAAACTACCAGTAGGGCGCAACTTTTTCTCTGAGCCCGCCCTGTGTCTATCCACACATACCTTTTCCTCCTAATAAACACTTTACTTGCTTCACTACTTTCCGTCTCTATGTGGAAATTCATTTCTACACAGCTGACGGGCCAGGGCCTTGCCACCGGCCACTGGTCTAGTGGCTAGGATTCAGTGCTGTCACTGCTGTGGCCTGACTTCAATCTCTGGCCTGGAACCGAAATCCTGCTTCAAGCCTCTGCAGGCTGAGGCCACCCGAGATCAGTTGGATCCCAGCATGTGGAACCCGTGGATACCCAAGGCTGACTCTAGTGCCAAGCCCCTCATTCTGCCATCCCTGTGGCTCTCTAGTTCTGGCCAGAATCTTCGCTCTCACCCCTCCTGAGTCTTAAACACCTTGTAGGTGAAGCCTTCCCGAGGGGAGAGGGCTGTTACCACTTTGCCTTCAGACAAGAAGTCCTTGAAATTTGGCAATAATGCATCAAATGACTTAAAATCATGCAGAGCCACAGGACATAAGTCCCTCAAGTCATGTGTCATTTACAACCCCATCTATCTTTTTTCCCTGTTTAATTTTTTTTTTTTTTGGCTGTGCCATGCGGCTTGTGGGATCTTAGTTCCCCCATCAGGGATAGAACCCCGGCCCTTGGCAGTGAGAGCACGGAGTCCGAACCACTGGGCCGCCAGGGAATTCCCTCCCTGTTTTAAATTTCTGAGCTTCTTAAGCCTACACGCTTTCACTGGCTTCATGCTAAATAAAGGAATTTCATGTTTTGGCCTTAAAATACCATCTCCAAACTGCTAGTAACAGAACTCCTAGCAAGATAAGGAGACAATTGTCTCTCTCACTATCCCTTTTTTTTCTCAGCTGTAGACAAGCAGGCTGCATCGGAAATATGAATTTGCAAATGTATCTTACAAAGGGAGGCCTGTAAGACACCCCTACCACAAAGATTATTTCTATGTCCCATGAAAGTATCTTTAATCACTTAACAAAAAAAGTTTAATTCAGACTATTTACCTTTTTAAGTTGTTGTCCTGGTCATATTAAAACCATCGGGTAGCTTCAGAAGTGTTTAAATGCTCCTGAGTTTTCTTTGCTAAACCTTAAGATGTTCTCGATGTTTCCCTTTTCCCGTTTGGAATTGAAAGCAAACAGAACTGAAGACTCTGCTAGATTTTTTTGTTTAAATCCATTTCCAAAGTCACCCCATTTAAACTAGCAATTCTAGGTGGACGGGGCGGGGGAGGGCTGGAATCAAAGATATATGTACAAGAATATTCATTATAGCTTTCTCTAGAAAGAATTAGCCGATAACAGATTAAGTAAATTGTAATGTAAAACTCACTTTGTAATACAGGTATTTAATAGATCATCAAGACGGCATCTCAATTGTAAATCAACTATACTTCAATAAAATAAATTTTCTTTTAAAGAGACGGTATCAGGAATTCCCTGGTGGTCCAGTGCTTAGGACTCTGCACTTTCACTGCTGAGGGGGTGGGTTTGATCCCCGGTTGGGGGACCTGCATGCCGCACAGTGCGGCCAAAAAAAAAGACAGCATCTCAAAACTGTGGAGAAAGGACAGAGGGTTCAATAAATGGTGTTGGCATACGTGAAATAACAGAAAATATATTGGTCTCTGGCTCTGGATCCTGGCTCTGGCTCCTGAACCTGTTGTCATTTCCTGGGTGACAGGAGTCCCTTTTGTTCTAATGAGGCGACTCTGGGTGAGGCCCTGGATAGTTTCAGGATGGAGGCTGGGCGCCAGTAGGATCAAGCCATGGTGAGAAGCTTGGAACTTCAGCCCCACCCCCATCCTCTGGGAAGGGGAGAGAGGCTGGAGATTGAGCTAATGATCCATCTTGCCTACGTGATGAAGCGCCATAAAAATCCCAAAGGTTTGGAGTTCAGGGAGCTTCTGGGTTGGTGAACACGTCCACACGCCAGGAGGGTGGTGCACCCCAACTTCATGGGGACAGAAGCTCCTGTGCTCGGGACCCTTCCGGATCTCACCCTATGTGTGTCTTCATCTGGCTGCTCATCTGTATCCTTTATTATATAATAAACTCGTAGGCATGAGTTAAGTGTTTCCCTGAGTTCTGTGAACTGTTCTAGCAAATTATCAAACTTGAGGAGAGGTTGTGGAAACCCCTTCTTCTTTTTTTTTTTTTTTTGCGGTACGCGGGCCTCTCACTGTTGTGGCCTCTCCCGTTGCGGAGCACAGGCTCCGGACGCGCAGGCTCAGCGGCCACGGCTCACGGGCCCAGCCGCTCCGCGGCATGTGGGATCTTCCCGGACCGGGGCACGAACCCGTGTCCCCTGCATCGGCAGGCGGACTCCCAACCACTGTGCCACCAGGGAAGCCCGAAACCCCTTCTTTAGCCACTGAGTCAGAAGTACCAGGGGCAGCCTGGGACTTGCAGTTGCCATCTGAAGTGGGGACAACCTCGTGGGACCGAGCCCTGAACCTGTGGGATCTGGGATGTGAAGATTTTTTCCTAGTAAGTTTTTGACTTTGGCCACAAAGAAGTTTATCTTATGGAGTTGGATTTATCAGAGTTTCATCTTCTGGCTTTAGAGCCATACTTAGGAAGGCTTTTCCTAAGAAAAGCTTAGAAAGGGACAATCCCATGGTTTCCTCAAATAACTGTATGATTTCCTTTTTTCCTCTAAGTAGCTTGTGTGTGTGTGATAAAATACACATAACATAAAACTTAACATCTTCACCATTTTTAAGCTGCCAGTTCAGTGGCACTAAGTACATGCACATTGTTGTCCAACCATCACCACCATTCATCCTCAGGTCCCTTTTCACCTTGCAAAAGGGCAACTCCGTCCCCATTAAACACTAACTCCTCATCCCCCTCCCCCCTCCCCTGGAAACCTCTAATCTACATTCTGTCTCTATGACTCTGATTATGCTAGGGACCTCATATAAATGCTATCATACCGTATTTTTCCTTTTGTGACCAGTTTCTTTCACTCAGCATATCTTCAGGTTTCATCCATGGCGTAGCAGGTGTCAGAATGTCCTTCCTTTTTAAGGCTGAATAGTATTCCATTGTAATGGATGGACCACGTACATCTGAGGATGGACACGAGGGTTGTTTTTACCTTTTGGCTATTGTGAATGGTGCTGCAATGGACATGGTTGGATGAGTATCTGTTGGATTCCCTGCTATCAGTTCTTTTGGATACACACCTAGGAGCAGAATTGCTGGCTCATACAGTAACTCTACACTTAGCTTTCTGAGGAATCACCAAAAACAGCAGCTGCATGATTTTACATTCCCACCAACAGTGCATTTTGTTGGGTTGCATTTTCTCCACACCCTTGTCAACACTTGTTATTTTCGAGTTTTTTTTAAATTGTAGCCACCAAAACAAGTGTGGATGCACACATCTTTTAACCCAGCAATTCTACTTTGGGGAATTTAAACTCTTCCAAACTTGCTTTTGTTAGTTCATGACATAACCTGGCCATCCTTCCATGTCGTGCATGTAATTCTCGCCCTCTTGTTGATGACTGTGCTATTTCCTAAGAAGGATGGACCTGGGGTTAACTACTGTTTCCTCCTGGACATTTACACTGATTTCAATTTTTAGACACTGCCACACTGCAACAAATATACACTTTATGGGACTACTCCAAGAAATACAGTCTTTAAAACCTACTTCCAAAAACCCAGCTTTCACTCCTTAATTTGCTAAGCACCCCTGAAAGACTGGAGTCTGTGGGCTGTTTGCTTTCAGACCGTGCTTACAAGAGAGCTCCCATACAGTCAGTACGTCTCTGCAAACTCTTCCCCCAAGTAATAGAGCTTTGGTGCCTGGACCCAAATTTCTGCTGAACATTTTGGAAAAGGGAATAGAGGTAGTTTCACGCTCATCTTTAATTCCAAACTGTGATTTCCCAGAGACCCTATGCCTGGGCAGTACTGAGCAGGCAGCAGGTGACCTCATCCGGTGAAAAATGAAAGACCAGCCAGCTACTCGGCTGCTGTTCCCTTGACCCACTCCCAGTTTCGTCTGATGTTCCACATTTCACTATGCAAAATTTAAGAGATGCAAAACTATGAAGACTCACACAACAGACATCCACATACCTACCCCCCAAGCTTTTCCAAGAGAGCTCAAGTCTCCAGCCCGCCCCTCCCCAAAGGCCAGAGACAGTGGCTGTCTGTCATGAATCACACCAGTGTTTAGTATGCCCTGACTCTGTGTATATCACCACAGAGAATTGGGTTTTGCTGGCTTTTAGATTTGTTTTTTTTTTTTGCTCTTATTTAAAAATTGAAGTATAGTTGATTTACAATGTTTCAGGTATACATCAAAGTGATTCGGTTATATGTATATATCAATATCTTATTTTCCGGGGCGTGACTGTAGCCGGTACAGTGTCTTTGGTTTCCACGCCATTGATCCTTGTCAGCAGGGAGGCACCCGTTGCCACATATATGGGTTTGCTGAGCCCTCTCTGTCTTTCTACACGTGTTTTTGTCGATATCCTGTAATTTTCTAAAGTCAACCATGTCCTATGCAAACAGGGAGTTTTATTTCTCCTTCCCTCCAGGGAGGAGGCTTAGACGCCCAGAGGTGGGACAGGATGGACGGGGTCCGTGGCCCGTGGGGTCTCCAGGCCAGGGTGGCTGCTGTGCTGGGGCCAGGGTTCAAGGGCGGGAGCAGGCGGCAGGAGAGGGCCGGCTGAGCAGGGTCCGGGCCCTGGGGGTGCCGGCCCTCGTCCCTGCCCCTGGGGAGTGAAGGCCTGGGCTGTCGCTGCCCGTCCCGTCCCTGTGGGTCGGGGGCTGCGCAGGGGGAGGGCTGTGGGCCAGAACCGGCCGAGGCCACAGTCATTTCCAATTTTGTCCTGTTTCCTGTCCTATGGGGCCCCACCTGACACCCTGACTGCGGGGCAGAAGCTGACAGCGAGTGGTGGGTTCACGTCCCCGGTCCCCAGCCACCTCGACCACTGGGACTGGTCAGGGGCGCCTGGCATGGAGGGTCCACCCAGTCCCGTTGGCTTGGGCTCCGGCCCTTCCTGTCATGAGGACGGAAGGCAGGGGTGACGGATGGGAAAGTCTGCTGATTCCTGCCCTTCTGGGCAGTCCTGGAGCTCGTGCCCCCGCCCCTCAGTCTGTACCCCCAGCCACTCCTAGACGGAGTTGGGGGGCAAATCTGGGGAGCACCCATCTGCTCCAGCTCCTCTGGGTTCAGAGGAGGAGTGGGACGCCCCCCACCCCACCCCAGGCACGCACAGGCCTCCTCGGGAGCCAGAGCTGGAGGGGGACACCTACGCCAGGTGACGTGGTGGAACCAGGCCGACAGCACAGGGAGGCTGGTGTGGTGCCCACGCAGGGCCTTATTCACATTGCTGTGCTTTAGTGGGGTCTTAGTTCTGAGAAGTTACAGACCCCCGAGGGCCCTCCTTGCAGGAACTTGACCACGTGCCCAGCCTGCCGACCCCTCACCACGACCGGGTGTGGGGGGGAGTCAGAGACCACACGGGGTGCCGTGCCCTGAGGACGTGCGCGACCTGAGTCGGTGACATGGAGGAGCCCCAAGAAGATGTCGTGCCAGCTGTTTCGGGACTTAGAGGAGCTGATTCGAAAGTTCACATGCAGAGTAACTAAGCGAGAACTGCTGGGAAAACCCTGTAAACGCGTGAAAGAGGGACTAGGCACGCCAGCTACAAGACATAGATAAAGGTTACACTAATGCTACCGTAATTACCAAAAGCCTTTCTAAGTCAGACAAAATCCTAGATTCCACTTTAAAAACTGGCTGATTCAACCACATGAAAATCAAGTATCTGCATGGGGGAAAATCCCTAATCAAACTCAAAGATACTATGAAACTGGGGGAAAATATTTACAGTTCTAATGCCCTTAATGGGTGAGAACTTTCTACAAATCAATTTCTTACAAGGCAAAAATATGAGAAATGATAAGGGAGAGTTCACAAAAAAAAGGAAGGAATGATAAAATATGCTTGTTCACCTCGCTCCTAAGAGATGTGCACATTGGCACCAAATCAATGTCACCGTGTCCGTCTCACCTCAGCAGCGAGGTCACAGCTATGAGGGAAGGTCGAGGAATCTCAGAGGGTTCTGGTTGGGGATCATCAGGTACCATGAACACACTGTTAAAGCTAAGAGCATGGAGGTGACAGCATCCTCTACAGGTGGGAAGAGCATGAGCTTGGAGCCCTCCGTTGGCCCTTGTGCATTTGCCAGATCAGAAAAACATCAGAAACTCATGAGTTCCATGAGTAAGGAACTTTAATAAAAGCATGATGGAAAGCAGCGACAAGTACAACCGTATCTAAATGTAAAACTGTCATTCTGCAAAAGACACAGTTAAGAGAATGAAAAAGCTACAGACTGGGAGAAAAGATTTGCTAATCGTATACCTAATGAAAGACTCGTGCAGAATAAGAAGCAAAGTGCTGGCGAGGACGTGGAGCAACAGGAACTCCCGTCCAGCACCGGTGGGGATGCATATGGCGCAGCCACCGTGGGAGACAGCTTGACCGTTTCTTACAAAACCGCACACATGTGCTCACCATGTGCTCAGCAATCATGCTCCTTCGGATTTACCCAAAGGACTTGAAAACATACATCCACATAAAACCTGCATGCAATCTTCACTGCTCTGCTCATGATCGTTAACAACTGGAAGCAACCAAGATGATCTTCAAAGAGGGAATGGAAAAACCGTGGAATTCCATGAAACGGACTACGATTCAGGGACACAAGGGAACCAGCTATTGATTCACTCAAAGCACGGGTGAGTCTTAGACTTGTTTTGCTAAATGAAAGAATCCAGACCCACGTATGACTCCATTCACAGGACGTTCTGGAAAAGGCGCAACCCCGGGAGGATAAGGAGCAGTGGCTGCCGGGGCTGCGAGGCTGGAGCGCGGATGCGGCGGCCCCACCCTTGTGTGAAAACCCACAGGCCGTGCATCCCAGAGACTGAGCTGTTACGTGTGCAAACTGAAAAAATAAAGAAAATCAAAGCTCATCACACGGTACACCTGGGATCTATGCGTTTCCTTACATGTACACTTTACCCATGAAAAATGTTTCACACTGAGGTGTCCTGAAGAGTTCACTGCTTTTTTGCCTTATTTCTTAAACACACCTGTTTTGTCATGAGGGTTTGTCAGACAATATGAAACCAAGAGCATCAGCATGAAACAAGCACCCCTGTGTGCCCTTCCCCAGGCAGCAAGCCCGTTCCACGTGCTGGCAGCCTACTCCGTGTATGACACCATGAGTAGCCCCGCGCCCAGGCCCTGCCCCTTCCAGGGGGTTCTACGCGATGGTAAGGATGCAGGTGCACAGGGTCACAGAGATGATGTAGGGGGCTCCCCAATCTTAGACTGAGCAGAAAGGCTGGGGTGCAGACTCCACGTTTCAGGACAGAAACAGCACCTAATTCCTGGGTTGATGCCCGCACTTGACGGGGCTGCCAGGTGCTCGCCGCAGCAGAAAGGTTTTTTAACAATTAGCTCGAGGCCTAACAAGCATTGCTGTTGTCATGAAACTTGAGTTTTGATCCTGAAGATGCCACATTATTAATCGAAATCTTAGCAGGGATGAACGTTTCCAGTAACCCAGACTCCTGTAGGGCCCCAAGGGAGGTAGCCCCCACCCCATCTGCTCTTTCCAGAACATTCCCTCAAGGAACATCAGCTCCACGTCTGGCCTGCCGGTCCACAGCCCAGGACAGCCCTCAGGATTGGCTGTTGCCACGGCGATGGAATTCCCTCCCAAACCTCCCAGTGAACCATGAGGCCACAGGCAAGTGGCCCGCGGACATCAGCTTTCAGCCAGAAGGCTGGGTCCCTTCCCCTGCAGCGCCTGGCCGGACCATCCCCAGGGCCGCATGACAGGCCTGGCCCTGCAACCCCACTGAGGCCCCCTGCCACCGGCTCTGCCCAGCCTGCTGAAGACAGTGCCGCCAGGCCCAGGACGCTCCTCCTGCCCTGTGGCACCTGCAGCCAGCGCCCCTCCCGGGGCAGTGACCAGCACGGCCACAGCGGAGCCAGGGCGGCGCCCCAAGAGCTGCCCCAAGGCCGCGCACGTGCCTACAACCCCCTGACGTCTGTGTCCCCAGAGAAGCTGGACACACAGGGGCCTCCAGAAGACAAGATGACTCTGAGCACAGTGACCCCGAGGCCCTGGGAAGCCAGCGACACGCCCTGCTGCTTCACGCTGGCCTTCCCACGGGACGGTGCCCCCCTTGCACGGCACAAGGCCCTGACCCTGAAGGGCTTGGCCTGGCCTGCATTTGGGCCCCGGGAGGGCAGGCGCGCCATGAGCACCCCTCCAGCCAGAATGGTGCCTAAAGGGGCCACCCGGGCCAGTCCAGAATTCTGGCCCAAGGCCAGGCGGGCCCTCTCGGAGCCGCACATGACCAGCTGGGGCCTAGACATGCCCCACAAGGACACTTCGGTGACCTGAGGTGGCTCTGGGAGGAACAGGCCACCTCCACCGAGGGGCTGGCAGGGGCAGGTGGGCCAACCGCACCCCCATACACATAAGGAGGCAGGGCTGGCCCGATGCCAGAGCCCACGCAGCCATCTGGGCCCCACGAGGCAGAGCAGAGGGCACTCTGGGCGGGCTGGACCCAACAGGCTGCACCCTTGCCTTTGCCAAAGTCAGTTACTGCCTTTCAGGGTCCCCAAAACTCAGGAGATACGACCCCAGCCGGAGTCCAAATGAGCTCCCCGCCCCCAGAGCCCTTCCCTATGAAAGCCTCCCTCCCAGAGGAAGGGACACCCTTTGTCTTAGTTTCCCCCTTTGCTGGTTGAAGGTGAATAAAGTTTCATGTGTTACGTGCTAGACTGGCCCATTCTTGCAGCACCCAGGGGGTCTCTGCAGGACGCACCCGGGGCCCCCAGAGACAGAGGGGCCACCAGCAGGACCAAGCTGAGGTTCCCACATGCCTCCTGGGGGGCCACACGCACAACGGCCTCCTGGACTCAGCCGAACACCAGGGTCAAGCCCATCAGATACTCTACAGTGACTCAGCACGTGCCCAGTGGGCCAGTATGGGGCTGAGGAGAGTGATAGCCGGGGGGCCAGCGGCATCAGTTCACGACAGTCTGTGCAAGGGGTCCCCGCAGACCCATGGTCCCTCCGTCACCTACCTGGGCGGGCCGGAGCTTCCTTCCCTGCATCCTCCCTGCTGGTGCCTCTTCCACGCCTGTCGCCTGTGCCTCAGTCGGGAGAGCAGGCCCTGCAGCTCAGGCAGCCCAGGCCACCCCCGTGGGGCAGGCGGGCCCAGCTTGCTCGCCTGATGCTGCCGGCTCTTGTGCTCCAGCTTGTAGAAGGCATCCTCCACGCCCTGGCAAGAGGGGGCCAGCTCGTTGGGGGGACCACTACCTTGGTCTCAAGTGGAACCCCAGCCCCGCAAACGGGGAGCTGGGCCCTGCCCGTCTTGATCCCCAGGGCCACCCCGTTGGGAGGCTTGTCCTCAGCAACTCCCCCACGGCCTCCTGGGGGGTTGGGCCGATTGGGACCTCCTTGCTGCTCTGGGGGTACAGGGGTTGGGGCCCCAGGGTCACCGCTCCAGCCTGGTCAGGGCAGCTCTCCCTGGGGACCTCCACATCCCCCGGGAGCTGTGTCGGCCCAGACCCAGACGCTGGCCTCCCTCGCTGTCCTGACGTCCAGGGAGACTTACAGCGTGAGGGGCTGCTGGGCAACGGGGGTCCCAGAGGGTCCCAGAGGGTCCTGGAGCTGGAGCCAGAGCCAGAGCGGCTGCCCTGCGTCGAGGGAGAGGGGGCAGTGAGAGCTGCCCCTGGGCGGGGCAGGGGGTAGCTCCGGCTCACCTGGCACTTCTTGGCCGAAGTCTCCATGTAGGGGATGCCATAGCTGCGGGCCAGGTCCTGGGCCTGCCAACACTCCACGGTACACGTGGCCAGGTCACACTTGTTCCCCAACAGCACCCTGGGCATGTCGTCCGATTCCTTCAACCACTCAATCTGCTCCCTGCAAGGGGGAAGGCGTGAGTCGGCCGGTGGGCTGTAGGCTCAGCTGCACCCGGGACACGCAGAGAGCAGACGGGAGGCCTCCGAGGGTTGCTGGGCAGCTCACCTGTACTGGCGGATGTCCTCGAAGGATCTGGCCTTTGAAGGACTTGGCATCGTTGATGGCAAACAGAGGAAGCCCTCCCGGGTGCACGTGTACTGGGCCTGCATAGCGCTGTACTCCTCCTGGCCCACCGTGTCCAGCATGCCCAGCAGGTGGACCACTTGCTTCCGGTGGGAGTCCTGGGGAGGACACTGCTTAGAGACAGCCGGCCCTCCAGGGATGGGACCCTCCCTCGCTCCTCTCATGCCCCCCAGGACCAATGACAAGGAGACCCCTCCTGCAGTGTGGGTGGGAGACAAGCCCGTGTCAAGAGCTGGGCTGTGGACGGGAGCCGGGCCGGCTCACCTCTGTGGTGGGAAAGTACTCATCCACAGAGTGGTTCTGGATGAGCTGGATGGTCAGGGCACTCTTCCCCACGCCTCTGGCACCCACCACCGTGAGCTCATACTCCGTCATCAGTCCTCAAGGGACCGCAGCACAAGGCACTGCAGTGGTCTCCTGTCCCGCCCGCCAAGGAAGCCTCACGCACCATGGCCAGACCACGCAGGGCACACCCACTGAGTTCCCTGCGCCAGCATGCCCAGGCCTGGCCTGCCCTCTGTGCCCAGACAGGTAACAGGGGCCCTAGCCAGAAGAGTGGCCCAGACGCTCATCTGTGGCACCTCCAGCCCGGGGGGGGGGGGCGGTCCTACCTCCAGCTGTACTTAATGACTGTGTGAGAGAAGCAGGGAGCCGGTCCCCCCAAACACAGGGCAGACAGCTGAGAGCATCTCCCAAGCAAGCACCTGAATTAGAAGCTGCTGGGTAGGCAAAAGGCCTGAACTGGAGGTGCCGCGGGCTGACGGTACCAGTGTCCCCACGAGAACAGGCCTTGCCACAGTGGAGGGCACAGCGTGTGCCGGGACTGGCAAGTGGCAGCCGACAAGCAGCTCCAGCCACCCCCCACCTGGCATGCTGGTGCATATGACAAGTATTCACCGAGCGCCTACTGCACGCCAGGTGCTGCTCCAGGCAGAGGGTGACAGGCAGACAGAAAGAATCCCTGCCCTGGCAGGATGGGGCTCTGCTCCACGGAAAAGATCTACATAAAGGGGAAATAAAGGGAAACCCACGAGGCCCCAATGCCAGAAGAAGTTTGGAAAACATAGGGCAGGTGAGGAGGTGGGCAGGCAGGGGCCAGAGCTCCAGGAAGCAGAAGGTGATCACAGGAAAAGACTCAAAGGAGGTGTGGGAACAGGGGACAGGTAAGAAAGAAAAAGAGCCTGGGGCCAACGCTCCTAGCTGGGGTGTCCCCATTTTGTGATGCTTAAAGAAGGGGGTCCCTTGCAGGGTCAGTGGGCAGTGATTTTCTAAACTCCAGGTTCGCCTGGTGTGTGTGATGGCCATGCGGTGCCCGAGCTCTTCGCAGGGGTCCATGGGGCTCTGGCGGGTGGGAGACCTGCCTTGCCCCATGGTCACGGGCGGGCCTCCTCTCGGGGGCACCCAGCACACTTGTGGGGTCCCGGAAGACAGGGCCAGGGACACACAGCCAGAGGGGCTGCCCTGGGTGAGGCAGAGCGGAACACCTCTGCCCGTGTCTCACCTGCACCCCCGCGTGCCTGGGGAGGACAGTAGGCACCTCGCCCGGCCCGGCTCCTGCAGCCCCTGAGGACATCTAGAGGCCAACTCCTGGACTGGCCTGGAAAGCTGAAGTGATTCAAGCTACTTAAGAATGAAAAGAAAAAGAGAGAACTGGAAAATGTTCCTGTTATAGCCAAGCGTCCTTTTGTTCTGAGAGAAAAGTGAACCCAGGCTCCCGGCTCTGTGGTCCTCCGTTTACTGAGCACTTCCCGGGGCGGCCCTGCGGGGCTGCAGGTGAAGCTGGGGAGCTGTGCTCCCTTCCCAGGGGCAGGCAGGAAGGACGTGGAGTCAGAGCTGCACTCCTCCCCACGCAGCCCCACTGCACACCGCGAGGGCCTGCTAGGTACCAAGTGCGTTCTGGTGGTCTCTGATTTTGCTAACACCCCGAGCAGACGGTGCTCCTGTTTACAGAAAAAGAATCTGAGGTGTGGAGAGGGCACTTCACCTATCCCAGGTTAGTCTCAAAGTTCTTGGTAGAGCTTGGGAGTTACCTAACAACTGTGATACCTCAGGCTGTGAAACCCAGTGAAAAAAGGCTTATTTCGGTCTAATGCTCCTTGCTAACTCTGGCAGTGCTAAACATGACATGGCATGCCGGTCTGCTCTCCCCAACTCCTAGACCAAGGAGGCTCTGAATTAGCGTTAGCTCACAATCAACAGGTGAGAGGGAGGCCCCCGATTTTGTGAAAACGCAGGGAGAGAACAGTGCAAATAATTTATTTCCGTCACTCCGCGTTTGAGGCTCACTCGCACCAACTGCACAATCCCGGGCCAACAGTCTGCCGGGGCTCAGAGCCCGATCGGGACCCAGGCTGGTCTGGGTTTCATCTCGCAACTTCCGACGGCACCAGCGGGTCGGCCTGGCTCAGGGCGAGCTGGTCCTTCTTCTCCTTCTGCAAGACCTGCTCCTCCCACAGCGCCTGGTCCACCTGATCGTCGGTGAGCACCACGGGCTTGAACTTCTCGTCGAAGAGCCGCTCGTTGGCCTCCGAGTGCAGCTGGTGGGGCCCGACGACGCGCAGATGTGCCGGCAGGTGCAGAAACTCGTCTTCGTTGATGTCGCAGTCGCGCATCCGGGTCCCCAGCACCCACCAGCGGCCCACGAAGCCCACATCCAGGATCCGGTCCGGGAAGTCGACCCAGCGGGGCTGCAGGTAGCGGCAGCGGGCCTGGTAGAGGCTGGCCTGGGCGTCGAAGGGCGCCTCGTACACCAGCGAGCAGAGACCCAGGCTCACGTGGCGCAGGCAGCCGCGACCCCGCAGCCAGAGCAGCCGTTGCACGAACGCCTCCGAGTCGCGGTTGCGCGTGGCGGGCGCCAGCAGCAAGAGGGTCCCCGACGCGTCGAGTAGCGCCTCCTCAAAGGCCGCCTCGCTCGGCGCGAGGGCGCAGCAGGCCGCCGCGCCACCCAGCAGCCCCACGTACACGGCCGCCCGCACGGGTCGGGCCCTCGCCGCCGCCGCCGCGTCCCCGCAGGCCTCAGCGTAGTCCCGGAGCAGCGCGCGGGCCCAGGCGCCTGAGGGGAGAGAAGCGCGATGAGGGCGGTGCGGCCGCTGCGGCCGCCCACCCCGCCGCCTCCCGCCGCTACTCACCCAACCGTGCCCACACGCCGGGCTTTGCGGCCGCAGTGTCACCAGTCTCTCCACGGCTTCGGGGCCAAAATCTCTTCAGAACGGCCGCCGCCATTGTCTTCCGGCTTTGCGTCCTCACTCCGAAGGGAAACGCCAGGTAGGCGAAGCAGAAGACCCGGGGAGTCTCTTCTGCGCAAGCGTCAACACTGCCGGAAGTGTATTCCCATCGGAAGAGGGTAGAATACGGACCGATGCCGGATGTTCCTGTCAGATCGGAGTACGGTCGTCTGAGGCTGGCAGGCGGGTTGCGCAGGCGCAGAGAGCCCGGGCCCCGCCAGTTGAGGTAGCCGAAGGTGAGGGGGCCGTGGGTGCACCTGTGGGGCAGGAGCGGCGAGTTCACGCCCCGGTGGGTGCGGTTAGCCGCCAGACCGGGCTCGGGGCTGAGGCTAGCCTCCAGGAGGGGCCCCGAGAGAGGTCGGGGGCGGGCCTGATTGGCCTCTGTCCTCAGAGCGGGATGCGGTGACGGCCCTGAGCGACCATGGCAGCGGCAGACGAGCTAGCCTTCCACGGTGAGTGCATCCGCGACCGGGCCCGACTCTTGTCCCCTCCGCTGGCCTGAACCTCTCATCCAGGTTCCAACTCAGATCTAACCCGAACCCCAGTCAGCTGTGAACCCCGGCCCAGGCATGAAACCCATCCCTAACTCGAATCCCGCTCCCGCCCTAAACTCAGGCCTCAAACCCGAGCCTCTACCTCATTCCAGGATCAGCCCTCAATTGCGGGCCCATGTTAGAAGGGAGGGGACACACCTCTTTCCCACTCACCAGAGTTGAGGAAGACGTGCCCTGAATTGGGGGGTGAACACCCAGGTGGTTACGGTTAGCGTTGGCCCCCAGATGAGCAGTGGGCAAAACCAAATTGTTCTGTTTGTTTTTGATAAATTTATTTATTTATGGCTAGGTTGGGTCTTCGTTGCTGTGCGCGGGCTTTCTCTAGTTGTGGCGAGCGGGGGCTACTCTTCGCTGCAGGGCGCAGGCTTCTCATTGCGGTGGCTTCTCTTGTTGCAGAGCACGGGCTCTAGGCGCGTGGGCTTCAGTCGTTGTGGCGTATGGGCTCAGTAGTTGTGGCTCGCGGGCTCTAGAGCGCAGGCTCAGTGGTTGTGGCGCACAGGCATAGTTGCTCCGCGGCATGTGGGATCTCCCCATACCAGGGATCGAACCCATGTTCCCTGCATTGTCAGGCCCATTCTTAACCACTGCGCCACCAGGGAAGCCCCGAAACCAAATTGTCTTGACTCCCAAATATGCCCGTGTCCCGTATGCCTTCTTGACAGAGTTTGAGGAAGCTACTAATCTGCTGGCCCAGACCCCAAATGAGGCCACCCCCAGAGGTGATCAGCTGGTTCCCCAGCAGCACGTGGCTGTGGCCGTGGACTCAGGTGGCAGCTACGGAGCTGAGGACGAGGTGGAGGAGAGTGACAAGACCGCGGTGAGTCCCATAAGTCCCCGTGCCCTGCCCCTTGTCCCAACCACCCACCCCTGCCACCCCCCAAGCGCTGAAAGCCTTCACTGTGCAGCTCCTACAGGAGGAGAAGCAGCAGCCTGGTTTCTGGACCTTTAGCTACTATCAGAGCTTCTTTGACGTGGACACCTCACAGGTCAGGCCGGGAAAGCTGGTGGGATGGGACTTGGAGTCACGCTTGGGGTTCAGCCACTAGTCACTGAGCACTTCTTGTGCACCAGGCCCTGGGCAAGTGCTGGCAATATGCACCTGGGAGAACAAGAGCTCCTACCCAGGCTGGTAGGTGTGACTGTGTGTGCTGCAAGGATGTGGCGTGACCAGGACTCTTGGGAACATGGGGGACACAAGTGATACGGTGGGTTAGGGAAGGGCCCACTGGAGGAGGTGAGGAATTTGCTGAGACTTAGAGGAGAAGGTAGACCTAGCCAGGAAGGGTAGAGGGAAGCATAAGTATGTTCCAGGCACAGGGAACGGCACATGCGGAGGACCAAAGGTGAGAGAAGGCACACACTACTGCAGAGGCTACCTGTCACTCAGGCTGGAGAGTGAGGTGGGGGACTGGCGGAGAGAAGCCAGATCACCAAGGGCCTCGTGAGCTATGTTAAGGAGTCTGGGTTTTATCCTAAGGGTGCTGGGGAGTCATGGAAGGGTTTAGAGCAGGAGAGGCTTGAGTAGCATGGAACATGGATCGGAGGCCCCAGGCCAGGGTGGGAGATGGTAATAAACCAGGGCTGCGGAGTAGGGAACACGTTGGGAGAGATGGGGGAAGGAGAACGCCCAGGACTAGGACTTGTTGACGACTGTTAATGGGGTGGGGGGAGAGAGCCAAAAGGGGAGTCCGGGGCAGCCAAGCTGGAGGCGGAGGAAGCAAAGAAGAAGATGGCAGGCCCTGAAGCGTCCTTCAGAGTGGTGGGACACTGGGATACTGAGTGAGGGCTGCCCGGGGAAGGGGCGGGCTCCAGCCCATAAGAAGACAGGAGCCCCTGAGGAGCTTGACCCCTTTCCTCCTGGGTGGTGAAGAGCCCCAGGCGGGCTTCCATCCTAGGCCCCGGCCTTGCCCCCCAGGTCCTGGACCGGATCAAAGGCTCGCTGCTGCCCCGGCCCGGCCACAACTTTGTACGGCACCATCTGCGGAATCGGCCAGACCTGTATGGTGAGTGAGGTTGTGCATTCAGTTCATTCGATTATTCATTGGGCAAATGTGGACTGAGTGCCAGGCCCCAGTATACAGCTGAGAACAAAGCAGAATCACTCATGGGGAGCGTGAAACTTACACTCTGTTCAGGGAGATAGAGCCAAATGAGGCTGCAGAGGGCGTTGGGGCTAGGGAGAGAAGCACAGGGTTTAGAGGATGGGAATTGTGATTTCGCACGGGTTGGTCAGGGAAGACCCCTCTGAGGAGGGTGAGAGAATGAGCCTGGTTGGTGTCAGTGCGGGGTGTGGGGAGACCCCGGGGAAGAACATTACAGAAGTGGGATGTGGTGGAAACAGGCCTGCACTGCAGGGCAGCACTGTCATTGGACTGGAGTGAGCTGCCAGGAGGCCACAGAGGTGACAGGACAGATTACACAGGCCTCCTATGCTGTGGTGAGAAGGGATCTTAGTTAAGTGTCCTTCGGTGCTCTGGGCCCGGGGCGGGGGTGGAGTGGGGGGAGGGCAGAAGCTGGGAGACCAGGGAGGAGGCGACTGCTGAGGTCCAGCGTGGGATGACGGGCCTGGCCTGGGGTGGAGAGCACCGGGTGCTGGATTCTGGCATACGTCAAAGATGAAGCCAACACGTCAGATGTGGGGTGGAAGGAGAGGAGATAAGGAGGCTCCAGAGTTTCTGGCTGGACTACCAGAAAGCGGGAGTTGCTATTTACTGATGCGGAAAGGCGTGCGACTCGAGGGGAAAGGGTGAGTGTGGTGGGGTGGAGTGGGGACGTTGGATAGGAGCTGCAGGTTCAGGGCAGAGGCCCAGACTTGAGACATTTGGGGGTCGTTGGCACAGAGGTGGCATAAGGCCCTGAGGCTGAACGAGATCACACAAGAATGAATGTGTGAATGCAGAGAAGAGGTTTGAAGACTGGGCCCCGGGCCGGCTCCCCACTGTTAAAGAGCTCAGGGAGTCAGAAAGGTTGAGGAGCTGCCAGTGAGATGAGACAAAAGCAAAAACGTAAAGTCCTGGGAACCACATGGAGAGTGTTTCCAGAAGGAGGGCGTCAGCTATGTCAAAGGCCATCGATGAGTGCTGGGCGCCAGCACTGGATTCAGCTGCCAGTTTGTTGCTGGTGTGACGCCGGGTCGATGAATCGGGTCGATGGGGGGGCGGAGGGGGGTGGAGGCAGCCCGGAGCTTGGGAAGAGGCTGGGACAAGATGGGACAAGTCACCTGTCCTGGGAGGTCCCACCCTGGGACCCTGAGCATGCCCCGCCCGCAGGCCCCTTCTGGATCTGTGCCACACTGGCCTTCGTCTTGGCCGTCACCGGCAACCTGACCCTGGTGCTGGCCCAGAGGAGGGACCCCTCCATCCACTACAGCCCCCAGTTCCACAAAGGTAAGCGAAGTGGGCAAGGCCTGGTACCGGGGGGGGGGGGCAGTGCCATGGCCCAGGGGCGATTACCTGCCTTGCCCGCAGTGACCGTGGCCGGCACTGCCATCTACTGCTACGCGTGGCTCGTGCCGCTGGCACTGTGGGGCTTCCTGCAGTGGCGCAAGGGTGTCCGGGAGCGCATGGGGCCTTACACCTTCCTGGAGACGGTGTGCGTCTATGGCTACTCCCTCTTTGTCTTCATCCCCACTGTGGTGAGTGGGGCTCAGGGACGGGTGGGCCCCGGGCACCACGGGGACAACCTGGTAGCAGCTGCCTGTGTCGTCCCCAGGTCCTGTGGCTCATCCCTGTCCCATGGCTGCAGTGGCTCTCCGGGGCCCTGGCCCTGGCCCTGTCAGCCGCGGGCCTGGTGTTCACCCTCTGGCCCGTCGTCCGTGAGGACACCCGGTTGGCGGCTGTGCTGCTGCTCTCCGTGGTGGTGCTGCTCCACGCCCTCCTGGCCACGGGCTGTAAGGTACCGGGCTGGGGTGGGCACAGGCTGGGCCTGGGGTGGGGGGGTTGGCTTGCTGGCTCTGATGCTGACCCAGGGCTCTCTCGGTTCAGTTTTACTTCTTCCAGCCGCTACCTCTGGAGCCCGCGGCACCTCCCCACCAGGCCACATCTCAGCCCCCAACCGTACTATTGTCACCGCCCCCGCCAAGGTCCGCAGCAGCCTAGGAAGACTGGAGCCCGCAGGTGAGGAACTGTTTCCAGCTGTGGCTGAGGGGGTCTCTGGCCCCCATCCCAAGGTTAGAAGTCATGGGGCCACTCCTAGGAGTTTCTCTCTTTCAGGCCCAACGTAAGGGGGTGCCTCTGCCTGCCCTGCCCCCCAGACGGTGACTGAAGGCTCCCCTGAGACCTCGAGATGATTTTGCTACTTTCCAGACTTTTCTTACAAAGCAAACACTTTTATTTTCTATGCAAAGGTGATTCAAAGAATTTATATAAAGGCGGGAGAGGGGCAGAGCAGGGAGCTTCCAGGGCAGCCATTGCCCCACAGGCCACCTGCCAGGATGGGCGGGCAGCACAGGGGGCCACCCCAGCCTCGGCTGTGCCTGCTCTTCCTGGGGGGCCCAGTTAGTGGGCCTTGGGCCTAGCCTGAGCTCCACCACATCCGAGTTTGGGGGTGTTAGAAACGGGGAGCAGAAGTAGAAGAAAATTGCCTGTGCTGAAACATACATTTCCTTGTTTATTAGTTTTTTTTTCTTTTCTTTTTTTTGGAGGTCCCTGCAAGGCCCCTTCCCAGGCTGGGGAGGGACCAAAATGCCATCATAGTAGTAGGGACTGGAGCATCTACAAATACTGAAGGGGATACACAGGCCTAACGTTAGCTACAAGGAAAAAGGATGCCTTCCACGACAGACCCTTGAGGTTTCTGTGTCTGCTCAAGCGGCTGACAGTGACCCTTCCCCCCAGGGCCCACGAGGCCACCTGTTCTAGCTCTTGGTGTGGGTGTGGGACCTGCAGGGGCTCAGGGACAGAACAGCAGCAAGTGGCAGGGGCCGAGGACGGAGGGCCTTCCCGACAGCCGGGTGGGTTGTACATTCAAGTGTGAGGTGAACCCTTTGGTGGGAGGGGGCCGAGGGGCTCCAGAGGCCCGGCCCCGCCCCATCCTGAAGACTCGGCAGGGCTGCCCCTCGCCACTGAGCCTCTGAGTCGGGGAGAGGGGCTGCTGGCTCGGCCCGGCCGGCCTGATGTCTCGGAGGGTCTGTGGATTGACACTGGTTCTTTTCGTAAAAAAATAAAATTAAAAAAAGCAGCATGTCACGCCCATTGTGACCAAGGCCTGGTAGTTGAAGGGGAGGCCCCGCCTGGCCAGGACTGCCTTCCCACTGGAGACAGGCAGGGGGCAGGCCTGAGGGGCCGGGGGATGGCGGGGGGGGGGGGGGGGGGGGGGGGCGCGGGCGGCAGCTGCTCCCCTCCCTCCCTGCCAGGCCTGCAGCTGTCAGGCCCGGACACACCTGTTACAGAAGATTTCAAACCCAGGTCAGGGTGGAGAGGGCAGGAGCGGGTAACAGGGCTCCCACGACACGATCGTGTGTAAAATATGGCAGCGACACGCGCTCAGGGCCAAGATGTGGGCGGGCAGCGGGCTGGGGGCGGCGGCAACATCGTGTAAAAAAGTGTTCAAGTTCCCATAGCAAAGAGGGCTGTGAGCGGGTGTTTGGGCTTCTCCGGTACAAGGGTGAGAGCCACCCGGGTGGAGGGGGGGTGGGCAGGGTCTTCATTTGGTTTCCTGGTGCTGTCAGTCCATTCCACGCCGGAGGGCCCTAGCTCCCGTAGTGCATGGTGTTGGTTGGGATGGACATGGGCGAGGCCATCGAGATGGCGGGGCCGCCCATGGTGAACTGGCTGTTGACCGCGTAGTGGGCGCTGGAGCTGCCGCTGCTGCTGCCCTGGGCGCCGGAGGACCCTGTGGGGCGGGGTGTGGGCACTGAGGAGCCAGCTCTGCCCCCTCGCCCGCCCAGACCCACGGCAGAGTCAGAGAGAGAGAGCGCAGGCGAGAGGGCAGGCGGGCGCCCGGCGGTGGGCACCCTCACACCCGCGGGACCCTGCTCCCCCCGCCCACCGTTACCTTGGACAATCCCCGTGCTCATTATGGAGCCCATCCGGGAGTGGGTGTGATTGACAATCCCCGTGTTGGCTGCGCAGCAAGAGGAAGGAAGGAAGGAAAGGAGATGGCGTCACCGCCCCCAGCCCGCCCGGCCCACGTGCCCAGCGTAGTGGGTGCTCACACTCAGATGTGGGGAGAGTGGGCGCGGTGCTGGCAGAGCGAGGCAGAGAGGAACGGCGCGGGGGACCTCAGCCCCCGGGAAGAAGAAAAGGGGGTGAGGCCGAAGGCCTGAGCTCGCCCCAGCGCGCCCACCCCCCGTGCGCTCACCTAAAGGAATCAGGTTGTTGTGCCCCACGCTGGAGCCGCCGGCGATAACACTGCTCAGGTCGTAGGCGGTCGGCATCCCTGTGCCGGGGAGCGACATGTCAGGGGCGGGGGACAGTGTCCTGGGCAGGGATTCGAGGGGCCAGAACTGCCAGCGTTTACTCAGCAAGCACCGGCAGGTGTGTCCAGGAAGTGACACTGGCACCTGCCCCACCCACACGCGGGCCTGCTCACCAGCCACGGCCATCCCGCTGCTGAGGTTGTAGGTGCTGCCGGTGTTCCACATGTTCTCCGAAGGGGACGTGTAGTGGGAGCCAGGCGGCGGGGAGGGCGTCGTGCCTGTGTATCTGTGGCAGAGACGGACCGGTCGACAGGGCTGAGGGGCTGCAGGCGAGGAGGGGCACGCCCCCTCCCACCGCGTGCAGGCCAAGGGCCCATCCTACCTGAAGAAGGGGTTTTTCAGATCCAGGAGATTACTGGATTTGGAGCCTGTCTGGTCTACCTGGGCCACAATACTGATGTCGTAGCTCTGTCTGTAGAGAAGGCAGGAGGGGCCGGCCATGAGCCGGCTGCATGGATGGACTGGAGCCCTGCCTCCCCCAGCCCCAGCCAGCAGCTCACACCTTTTGTTGGCAATAAGCAGACATGTCCCTGAGAGCGTGTCCCCGGCCTTGGCGAACAGTGGTGACTGGAACAGGCACCGGACCTGGTACCAGTGGGTCAGGGGCTCCGTCGGGGCCGTGGACAGCCACACGGTCATTCTGCCAAGCAGGAAGAGGCATGCATTTGCCCGGGCTGCAGCCCCCACCTTGTGCACCCTGAGCTCTCCCCAGGCATCTGTGCCCCGCCACCCAGGGGTCCCCTGGGGCCCTGGAGCCGAGACAGGTTGGCTGTCCAGGAAGTTAACACACAGCCCCACAGCTATGGGGCACCCACTCACCCTGACATACATGCCAAGAGACACAGTCAGGTCCCGTGAAGAACAGTCACTCAGAACAGGGTAGACACCCACCCCGCCACAACAGCCTACTGCTTGAAGGCCAGCGCCTGCTGCCTTTGGAAGAAACAGTGGAACCCAGAGGAGTCAGGTCCTGCCCTCGCAGCCCCCAGTTCATCATCTGAGCCAGCCAGGCCTGGGCTTCCCAACTGCAGGCAAGTCCCTGGGGCCAGGGGCAGGGGCCACCTGCTCTGCCCTGTTACACTCACATGGAGCCAATGAAAGCGACGTCAAACCAGAAGGCCAGACCGTGAACCAGCCCGGAATGCAGCATGTGGAATTTGAATGGGATTTCTATCCTGAAAGGCAAAGGGCAGTGATTGCTGGGGAAGCTAGCTGAACAGGGGCTGCCAGGAGAGGAGAGGGGTACTTGGGTGTTGAGTCTCGAGGGCCCTGCCCGCCTGCCCTGGGGAGGAGAATTCTGCCTGAGGGAGCCGGCTGTGGCCTTGACCTCCAGCAGGAGCCAGACCCAGGAGGACAGGGCATGGGTGCCAGTACCTGTGCAAATCTCCTTCTTTGGCTTCTAAGAAGTTCACCGTGTACTTGACAGACTTGGCCATCAGGATCCGGATGTCAAATGTGTCCTGGAAGAGATCAGAGGTGTGACCTGACTTCAGGCACGGGGTGAAGTCCTGAGTCTGGCCACGGCGTCTAGGCCACTCAGCTAAAACCAGTTTGCCCTTCTCAGACATGCTGGGGGGAGGGGGAATTGGTACAACACAATGGAGGGAAATTAGGTGACAGCTCGCAAAATGACAACCATTCATCTGCATTAAAGACTTGGCAGTTCCACTTCTGGGATTTTAACCTACAGATCTATGTGCACATGTACAAACTTACACATGGAGTTACAGATTGCCTATAGCAGCGACACGCTGGAAACCATCTAATGAAACAAGTAATGGCCCAACAATAAAAGATTATGTACATGAAAAAGAATGAAGAGGCTGTTTATGATGGGGAAAGATCTCTAAGGTAAACTGTTAAACAAGTTCACAAAAAAAAAAAAAGTTAGAGAACGGTGCACTGACGTCCACTCCCAGCCATGACGGAGATTTCTTATCAGACTAACACTGCTGCCAAGAACTATACGAACTGAATGAAAAACAAAGGAAAAAAACCCCAGTTGTCTGAAATCACTGGAGAGCGACCACAGCAGCCACAGCTTTGGGGCCAAGATCCTAGAGAGAGGAGAGATGCTTTTCGGCCTGTGCCTTTCCCCTTGGGACGGGGCCTTTCAGCAGCCTCCCTGGGTGGGGAAAGCAAAATGGGGGTTCGGGATTACCAAGGCAGCTAGCACTCAAGGGGCCAAGATGCTAAAGAAAACGGAAATGTGGAAATTTGAGGTGGACAGTCTGCGCGTGATTTCACTTCGTGGCATTTGCCAATTCCTGAGCTACATGTGGGATGGGGGTAGGGAAATCAAGCAGAAAGCTACTTCTATGAGATTAAAAAGCTAATGAAAGGTTCAGCACCATGTTGGTGCTCGGAGTATGGAACAAGGGGCCCTGTGAACCACCAGGCTCACCAAGACCATGAAGACTATGCCCTAAAGCAGCGGTTCTCAAAATGTGGTCCCTTTCAGAGCACCCTCAAGGTCAAAACTATTTTCATGATATAACACTGTTTTCTGCCCTTTTCATTCATTCACTCACCTGTGATACCACAACAGATTGAATGCAGAAGCAGAATCCAACTGTCTTCTGCTAAGCCAGCCATTAAAAAGATTTGCAAATTTAAAATGTCGCTAATTCTTGCTGGAAAGTTTTGCAATATAGTTTTCTTTTTAAAAATGCTATTTATGTTAACACGTAATGGGTTTTTATTGTTATCCTTAAATTAACTAATGTGTATTTTTTAAATTTCTTGGGTTTTTAATGTCAATAGATATTGACGGTACATCAATCAATACAATGCACACAAAACTTCTTTGGGATCCTACATTTTTGAGAATGTAAAAGGGTCCTGAGACGAAAATGTCTGAGAACTGCTGCCTTCCAGGGAAACCGGGCGATATGCCAGTTAAGCAGAGTCTGAAAAGCAACCTCCAAATGTCTTAAATGCCTCATAGGACCAAGGTAATCTGTCATTATGGCTTCTTGCCTGAACAAAAACGAATCCTTGGAAAGAAAAACATCATCCAGAGCCTCTATAATTTTTCATTCTGGCATTCAATGACCAGGCATACCAAGAGACAGAACCAAAGTACCAAAAACCAGGAGAAGAAAAAACAGAAATACACTTACCACCTATCCAGATACTAAAAGTGATCAGAGACTTAGAATTAACATGTTTAAGGAAAAAAGGTGAACAAATTTCACAGAGAACTGAAATAATAAAAAAAATAAGCAAAATGAAACTCTAGAACTGAAATTTTAGAAAACCAGGGGGGAGGAGGAGTTGGATGGGCAGTCAAAAGGAACTACAAACTTCTAGTTATAAGATAAGTACTAGGGATGGAATGTACACCATGATAAATATAATTACCTCTGCTGTACGTTATACATGCAAGTTGTTAGGAGAGTAAATCCTAAAAGTTCACATCACACAAAAAATTTTTTTTTCCAAAAACAACAAAAAAAATTCAGATTAGACATAGTGATGAGAGAATTGGAACTGGGAGATGGATAAGGAGAAAACATGAAAATTATGCAATTGGGATAGAAAAGTATAAGTATAGAAAAGAGTATACGAATCATCTGAGAAATGGTGAAAAGGTCTAATGTATACATAATCAGAGTTCCAAAAGAAGAAAGAGGATGGGACAGAGGTAGTGTTTAAAGAGATGCTGGGCTTCCCTGGTGGCGCAGCGGTTAAGAGTCCTCCTGCCAATGCAGGGGACATGGGTTCGAGCCCTGGTCTGGGAAGATCCCACATGCCACGGAGCAACTAAGCCCATGCGCTACAACTACTGAGCCCGCGAGCCACAACTGCTGAAACCCTGTGCACCTAGAGTCCGTGGTCTGCAACGAGAGAAGCCAGCACACCGCAATGAAGAGTAGCCCCCGCTCACTGCAACTACAGAAAGCCTGCGCGCAGCAACAAAGATCCAACGCAGCCAAAAATAAACTAATTAATTAAATTAATTTTTAAAAAAAAGAGAGAGATGCTGCCCTAGAGTCTCCCAAAACTAGTGAAAGACAATCAAGAGGGGGATAAATAATATATACCTTATTAAAACAAAAGAAAGCAAGAAAAGAGTTAAAAAGAAACAACAGGATAAATAGAAAAATAGTAAAATGATAGATTTATAGCCATAAAGACCTGTAATCACATTAAATATAAATGGTCTAAATATTCTAATTAAAAGACAAAAACCTGTCAATCTGGTTAAAAAACAAAACCCAAATATATGATATTTACATGAGGTAAACCCTAAGTAATAGGTTATAAAAAGGCTGAAAGAAGAAGGATGAAAAGTATGTATCCTATAAAGATTAACCAAAGAAAGCCTGAGTAGCTAAACTATTGTCAGAAAAAAATAGACTGTAAGGACTTCCGTGGTGGTACAGTGGTTAAGAATCTGCCTGCCAGCGCAGCAAACACGGGTTCGAGCCCTGGGCTGGAAAGATCCCACACGCCGCAGAGCAACTAAGCCCGTGCGCCACAACTACTGAGCCCGTGCGCTCTAGAGCCCGTGCTCTGCAACAAGAGAAGCCACCGCAATGAGAAGCCCGCGCACCGCAACGAAGAGTAGCCCCTGCTCGCTGCAACTAGAGAAAGCCCGCACACAGCAACAAAGACCCAGCGCAGCCATAAATAAATAAATAAACTAAAAAAAAAAAAAGACTGTAAGGCAAGAAGTACTACTAGAGGTAAGAAAAGACACTTGTTATAGTGACAAAAGGATCAATCCAACAGGAAGATATAAAAATAATCCTAAACCTGAATGCACCTAATAACAGTAATGTCAAAAAAAATAAGGCAAAAACTATCAGAACTAAATGGAAAAATAAAGCTACAATCAGTAATAGATAGGAGAAGCAGACCAAAAAAAAACAGTAGAGAGAGAGAAGACTTGACCAACATGAGTAACAAATGTGACCGAACTGATATTAATATAACAATGTACACAACAAGTGATTGGTATACATTTTTCTCAAGTACAGAGGGAACATAAACCAAGAGAGACCACATACTGGGCATAAAGCAGCTCTCAACAAATTTCAAAGGACCAAAATCATACAGTGTATATCCTCCGAACACAGACAAACTAAGACAGAACAATATGTTGATTATGCTATACTTTGAAAGGAAAAAAGGTTAAATATATGTATATTTGTATACGCACATTTAGATATAAGACTTCTAGAAAAATACACAACAACTGTTTGCCTATAGGAAAAAGAACTGTGTGGCTGGAGATGGACGTAGGGAGGCTTTCCACTTTTATACTTTTTTGATTTTTGAACCATGGGTCTATACATCAGTTCAAAAATCTCAATAATTAAAATCAATCAAATAAAATCAGTTCACCAAGGATCAATTCGTCTAATGACTGTAAACACGTTACTGGCATGCTTACTATGTGCTAAGCACTCTACATGCATTGCTACTTAATTCCCAGCATCCCTGTGTGAGAGCTCCGTGCAGGGGCAGAAGCCCAGATAGCAACGGTGGCCTGCCTAGTGCTGCACAGCTTGCATAAGGCCTTACAGGAAAGCCCATGCCCCTCTCCTGTCACCCCAGAGAAGGGCCATGCCCAGTGCTACTGTGGTAGTGAGTGCCCTGGGTGCCCCCACTCACCACCACAGGCTGCCGGAAATACTCGTCCACCGCAGCACCTCGAAGAGCTGACAGGTCCACTCCATGGAAGGATGGCTGGTACCTGCAGAAAGCCCCCACCCCCCATGGCAAGGTCACCAGCAGCAGGACACAGTTGGGGCAGCCTGCCTTCTCTCCCAGCTGGCCGTCATCCAGCCCAAGTCTTTTAGGTCCTACTGAGGATAAGGAATAAGAGAAAGGTGGGGCCATCCCTGAGAAGGCAGGACACCCAGGGGCACACTCACCAGAAGTTGGCCTTGGTGAACTGCTCCATGTAGAGCTGTTCATCCGTGAAGGGTGCGAGGTGGACATCACCAATGGTGGGGAACATGTTTCCTGGGAGTGGGGGCAGGGAGGGGTGCTGGCGTCAGGGTGGGACATTCAGCAGGACCTGGCAGAGCCTCCAAAGGGCCCCAGGACCCCAGCTCTGGGCCTTCCCAGCCTCTCACTCATCATTCACTCATTCATGCACTCAGGCAATGAAGAGATACTGAGCACCTACTCTGCCAGCGGCCACTGAATACTTGACGTACACCTCCTCACTAAACCTGTACAGCTAGCCAGGGAGGCAGGGGGGCCTGGCCTCAAGTCCCATTACAAGGGCTGGGAGACAGGAAAGCACCTGCCAGAGCCTCAGGGGTAAGTAAGCAGTGCCTGGGGTGTGGCCAGGCCTCCAGGGGCCCTGCTCCGTCAGCCAGACCGTGTCTCTTGGAAGGGCATGCAGCAGGGAAGGCAAAGGAAAGTGCTGTGGACAGAGCAAGGGTGAGCCCCAGGCTATGGCATCACGGGCCCCAGCTGAATCCCCACCGCAGGACTGCCCAGGCTCTGGCAGGCAGGGTGGACCACTTGCATGGCCTGAAATGGGAGGGGGACTCAAGGAACAGACAGATGAGTCAGAGCCAGTGGCAAGGAGAGCCAGGGCTCAGGAGGCCCTGCCTACTTCTAGAGTCTAGGGCCCCAAGTCACCTGGCCTCCAGATGTGGGCCTCCCTCCCTCCTCTTATTCCAGGGAAGAGTCCCTGAGGTGCTGGGGATCTGCCTTCTCAAGCCTTCCTTCAGCTGTAGCCACTGGGGTGGGGAAGGGAGGGGCTCACTGGCCCAGAAGCCACAAGCCAGGCCCCCTGCCCAGGAGGAGCCCATCAGCCCCCCGGAGCATCATGGAAAAGCGCCCCCAGCCCTGAAGGCACCTAAAACTGTGCAGCTGCGGGGAGGGTTCCCTCAATCCCCCGAAAGAGCTTCCTGAGATGGAATGAAGCCGCACTCACGCAGGCTGAAGGGGAAGAGGTTAGCCCCAGGCCTCATCCCGGACAGGCTGCTTGACCAGTGGGATGAGTATGCAGCTGCCCACTGGAGCCTGACTCCCGTCTGTCCTTCCGTCCCATGAGGAGGAGCCCACATCCTGCTGGGGCTGCTGCTCCCCACCACCCCCGACTCCCACCACCCCCAATTCCCCCCCACCCTACCCCCCGGCTAGCTTGGCCCATCAACAGGGCAGAGCATGAGAGCAGGTCTAGGACAAGCCTTGGGGCAGCCTGGCTTCCCACACACCTGGATCGCAGGACAGAGCTGTGGGGAATGGCAGCCACCTCCTACCTCCCACCTCTCGGAGTGGAGCCTGAGGCAGGTCCTTCCCCACAAACCAACTCCTCCCCTGCCCTCCGTGGGGCCGCAAGTGCACGGACCTCCTGTGCTCTGCCCTGGCGGGGGTCGTCTTATACCACACGCACACACACACACACAGCCCCTTTCCTGTACAGAAATACTCAGAACGTGCCCAGAACTGAGCAGAGAAACGGACACGTTGGCAGATGTTCAGGGCCACGCACAGACCAGACCACCAGTGACACAGATGAGCAGGTGTCAACAGTGACCCAATGACCCCAGAGCACAGACAGGCAGGTAGTGACACAGACAGGAGACCACAGCCATCAGCTGCCCCCCAACACACAACAACCCCCATCCCACCCTCTCTCTCACACACACACACACACACACACACAACCCCACCCCATGGTGATGAGTGCAGGAGTCTGTCAGGCTGAGGGCAGGGTCTACAACGCTAGGAATGAAGACAACAGGGCAGTTCCTCGCAGAAGGTGCCGGCCACAGAACATGTCCTGCTCCGACCACAGCCCAGCCAGACACTGTCCCCCATGGGCCATGAGATGCCAGAGGCAGCCCAGTGGCTCTCTGCGGGCCTGAGGGAAGCCCCTCCGTACCCTGACCGAGCAGACCGGGCAAGTGGACATGTGGCCTCGTTTGGGGCCCAGCCAGCTGAGGTCAGGTCTGGGTAGGGAGTGGGGGTGAAGGCCCAGATGCCCTCTGTACCCCAGGCCGCCAGCTCAGGCCAGTGGGGAGCTGAACCACACCCGTGGTGACTAAGCGGCAGCCAGGGGCTCTCTGAAGGGGCCCCCAGGTGCGCACCCCTGGCCTCGGGCCCAGGGAACGCCCACCCAGGCAGTGGCCCGCACCGGCAGGGACACTCACCCCCAGGCCTCAGGTACTTCTTGGCGTGGAGGTAGCTCTCGAGCATGCGCTCGTTGAAGAGCATGTAGCCCATGGGCTCCGAGATGATGATGTCCACCTGCTCGGGGAGTGAGACCTCCTCCACCTTCCCGGGGATGACCACGATGCGGTCCGTGAGGTTGTTACTTTTCACCAAGACCTGAGGGCGGGTGAGCCACAGAGGTCACGGGGGTCCTCGCGGGGGAGGGCCTCCATCCACACTCAGCTACCAGATTCCCCTCTGCCTCCCTGTTGGGTCGCCCCTCCTGCAGCTCCGCAGCCTCCTGATGTCACCTTGGGGACGAGGACAAGTAGGCCTTGCTACAGCCGCCAAAGCTAAACCTGGACACACCTTCCGACCCAGCGATTCCAATGCTAGGAATCTGCCCTACAGACGTAACCTCACACGGAGAGGGGACACGTGTGCAGGGGATTCGGTGCAGCGTTTGTGCTACAGACTGAGAAGCAGCCTCAGTGTCAATTACAGCCTGTGTCTCAACACACAATGGTTCGTCCAGGCAGAGATGCTCTGCAGCCACTAGAAAGAGTGAGGAAGCTCTTTACATGATGACACAGACATATCCCAGATGTATCGTAAAGAGAGCAGAGCCAGGTGCAAGACGGTGGCGTGTACATTCGTGTGGGAGCTGGCGGGTGGAGAAGCCCATGGGGGCTCATGGAGCGGCTCTGGGGAGCTTCTACATACGTCTGTCTCCCTCCAGTGGGGGGGATCTAGGTGGTTGGGAGCCAGAGGTCAGGGAGGGAAGCATCCTCACTGTTTACCTTTGTAGCTTTTAGGTTTTAAACTTTGTGAATGAGGGCTTCAGTGCCAAAAAAGCATCAACTGACAAAATGAAATCCTGTTGTCATCCACCTCTCAGATGGGGCTCAGAGAGGTGGGCGGCTTGCCCCAGGCCGAGATCCCACCCTGGTCTGTGTGACTGCACAGTCCAGCCCCTGAAGCACCAGTCCATCAAGCTCCTGAAGGCCCCAAATCACCCCTGAACCCGGTGGGCCACCATCCTTCATGGAAGGGAGACTACCTCAGGCCCAGCAAGCCCCTCCCCCTGAAACCACTCAGTTTCGGGGACAAGAGACCAAAGTAGAGAATGATATTCCCAGGCTCCCCTGGACCCAGGGGTCAGGTCTCCTGGGGGCTCCCAGCAGGGCTGGCTTCCCCAGGCTGCAGCAGGCACAGAGCTGGGGCACGGAGACAGGTTGGGACCCCGAGGGCCACGGACCTCGGCGTGCTGGGCCATGGTGCTGGCTTCCACCGCGTAGATCTTCCTCGCTCCAGCCTGGGCGGCGAAAAACGACAGGATCCCAGAGCCGCAGCCGACGTCAAGAACAATCTGAGGGAGGAGGGGGCAGTGAGGACAAATTAGTGGTAAAGTGACGTGATCGTAAAGGTGTGTGTGTCAGGGGGCGCTCCCTCCCCGCAGACCCACCCACGGAGCACGCTCTCCGGCCTGCGGCCTGCTTCCCCTCTACACGGACAGCTGCCCACGAGGGTGCTTTCTGAGAGCCACAGGAGCCTGCAGTTTGGATCCGAAGGTGGTAGAGTGGGACTTCTAAGGACAGCTAGGATGTTAAGACCAGTACACACTCTCAGACCCGATTCAAGAAGGAATGGTGTGCGCTGTCTATGCAGCACGTGGGAATGAGTGCTCACTAGGTAAGGACACCTCTGAGCCCCGCAGCAGAACCACTGAGACGCAGGGCTGACTGGCCAGGGCCACGCGGTCAGTAGGAGGAGGGCAGCCTCCCACCCCAGGCCCCACAGGGCAACCCCGCAACCTGGGAAGAGCCCCAGGGAAAGCTCCCACTCGGGTGCCCTCTCCAGGGCTGCTGGGTCCCAGAGCACAGGCTCTGGGAGGAGTCCCGGCTAGTGTGTGGTAGACTGTCCCACACTCTGGATTCGTCTGACTGCTTCCGCGCACAAGCGGAATCAGGATAAACGTTTCTGGTGCGCACGCGCTAAAGGAGACCTGCTCTGGGCGTGGTGGTGGGGCACAGGGCGAGCGCCCAGCAGAGGGGCTGGTGCTGTCGGGTGGGAGGGCCTCGGGTGCCTCTCAGAGCTCTGCATGAACTAGGAAATGGATCTGCGTCCTGGGAGAGCTGGAAGAGGCTTTGCTGAAGGGACACTGGCTTCCCGGGCCCCAAACACTGCCCCAATGCTGCCCACGCCAGCCTCCAGGGCATAGGGATGGCCGCTGTGTCGAGGATGACTCCTCCCCAGCCTGTGGGGCTCAGGCCCTGGGACCGGGAGGCTCAGTCACCTGAGGGGATTCTCAGCAATGCTGGGGGAGTGTATCACCAAGGCGCCGGATGACATAGATCCACGTGGATCATGTGGAGAGTCCCCTAGATATGTCGAGAAAACCACAAGCTTTCATGTGGTTAAAAGGGAAAATCAAACTCTAGGCCACGAGAAGAGAACAGAATAAAATTTCACCTCCCAATATATATGCTCTGGTCTCTTTTTAATCACGAGTATATAGTTGATCCTTGAACAATGCGGGAGTCAGGGACGACGCCAACCCCACCACCCAGTAGAAAATCCGAGTATAACCATACAGTTGGCCCGCCATATCTACGGGTCTGCAGCCGCAGATTCAACCAACTGTGGATCGTATAGCACAGTTGCTCATATCTATCGAAAACAGTCTGCATATAAGTGGACCAGTGCAGTTCAAACCCATGCTGTTCAAGGGTCAACTGCTCACTACTTGGTAACAGTAAAAAGATTTACATCTATTTTAAATATATTTAGGGAAGTGACGAGATTACACTACATCCACGTAACTTAACAGTACATGCCAAGACACAACATTAAGTGGGGGAAAAGTATTTTGCAGGAAGCGAATGTAGAATACAGTCCTATTTTGTATATCTGTATTTTAAAAGATTATAACCCTAAAATATATATGCTGGGGGAAAATTTTGGAAGAAGAGAGCTTTACTGTTGGCAGTGGTCATTCTGGAGGGAAATGACAGAGGCCTTTCACGCCCATCTGATACACACTGGGCTTCTACAAAAAGTAGATTTTGCTTTTGCAATCTGAAAAAATTAAAGATAAAATCAATGAACAAAGGGGAAAAAAAAAATAGAGGCTACTGAGCCAGTGAGGTGGGCACGGAGCCTGAGGGAGAGGGAGGAAGGCAGCAGGGTGGATGCAGCCGGCCCCGCTCACCTTGTCCTTGAAGTCCGTGTGGTTCTGCAGGATTGCACGCTGGTAGGTGCCTGTCCGCACGTAGTCCTGCATCATGTTCTGCTGCTGGGACAGGTAGCCATAAAACTGGAACAGAGACATGCCAATGGCACAGGGCACGCAGCAGACAGACGGCCGAGGCCCTGGCCGACCCTGTGACAGAGGAGGGTCCACTTCGGGCAGAGATCTCCCTGGGGAGGCCACACCCCCTCTGCTGGCCTGGACTCCCCGGCTACCTGCTCCAGTAGAGGGAGCTGGAAGCTAGAGGCAGCCCCCAGGGAGGACACCACCGCCGTCGCTGTGGCCAAAGGACACAGTTGGTTGATACCTGGTCCTGGAAGCCACCCAGGAGAACTCAGGATATGCCACACGCAGGGTTCTGGGATCAAGGGCCACCTGCCCCATCTTAGGGGCCCCAAAGAAGTGGAGGAGTGGATCAAACAGAACCCTAGAACTCAGAGCGCCAGGCAGGTGAGGTGCTGTGGGGTCTCTTTGTAAGACAACAGGCGATCGGGAGGCAGCGTGGCACCTGGGCAGGGGCACAGGCTTTGGCATCAGGCAGACCTGGCTTCCCATCTTGGCTCTGTTGCATAATAGCTGTGTGACTTGGAGCAAGTCACTTAACCTCTCTGAGCCTCAGTTTTCTCATCTGTAAAATGGGGACAACAATAGTACTTACCTCCTAGAGTTGCTGGGAGGGTTCAAGTACTTCCGTACGTGTCAAGGCGCTGGGGCCAGTGGCTGGCATGCCCTACGTGTTCAGGACATTGTAACTATGCTATCATTACTCAAAATGCCTGTGGACCTGAGCTTCACCTGCACTCAAATCTTTCCAGCAACCCTCGTAGGCAGGCACTGGCATCTCTGTTTCACAGATGAGGAAACTGAGGCCCAGCAAGCGGAGGAAACCTGCCCAAGGTTACTCAGCGAGTAAGGGGCAGAGCCAGGACATGAACCCGGGTGGGCCTGCCCTGTGCCGCATGGCCTCTGGGGGCCACCGGGGGCAGCAGCCTGGCCCAGGCAGTATGTACCCACCTGGAAATACTGCACAGCAGAGGACTCCTCCGTGCGCTCACTGAACACCGACCGCTCCAGGGTGTGGCCCCGGCAGGTTTTCAGGATGTTATAGAAGGAACAGAAATCTGGAAGGGGGAAGCCGGCTCAGGGGTGGCGGGCTCTGTCTAGGCGTGCACCCCGACTTTTCTACCTTGAGCACGAGTGATCTGAAACCGCCTCCCCGACACACACATACACACAAATGTTGAAGTTGAAGGAAAAGAAGAAGGGCAGCCAAGCCTGCCCTTGGTGACTGGCACGGGAGAAGGCAGGTGTCAGGGGCGAGCGTGCTCCACGCGGCTGGCGCTGCTTCGCCAGAGGGCAGCTTGGCCAAAGCCTTCAAAGGATGACCCGGGCATCAAGTCTCTGGGACTCACCACAGCAGATACCCATGGGTCCACCCACAGCTCACGCAGTGTCTGTGGGTGGCAAGTGGACACAGGGACACCACCCCAGTGTCCGGTCAGAGGGGACTGGATGGACCCCAGTGGACACTGAGAAGCACATGACAGAGCCAGTCAGCAGGGGTCTGCAGGACCAGGTGTTACGTGGCAAATGAACTATGTTTATGAACACAGACCACTAAATTGCATCAAGAAAAAGAAGCAAACAAAATCATGAAGACAGATAGGATGGTGGGGGCCAGGGGCTGGAGGGGAGGGGTGGGGGAGGGGGAGTTAGTGTTTAATGGGAACAGAGTTTCAGTTTAGGAAGATGAAAATGGGGGATGGAGATGCATGGTGGAGATGGCTGCATCTCGTGAATGCGCTTTAATACCTCTGGAACCTGGACACTTGAAAATGGTTGATGGCAAATTTTACGTTAGGCGTATTTTAACACAATTAACTAAAAGACAGGACTTCCCTGGTGGCGCAGTAGTTAAGAATCCGCCTGCCAACGCAGGGGACACAGGTTCGATCCCCGATCCGGGAAGATCCCATGTGCCGCGGAGCCACTAAGCCCATGCGCCACAACTACTGAGCCTGCGCGCCACAACTACTGAGCCCTCGCGCCACAACTACTGAGCCCGCACACCTAGAGCCCGTGCTCTGCAACAAGAGAAGCCACCGCAATGAGAAGCCCGCGCACCTCAACGAAGAGCAGCCCCTGCTCACCACAACTAGAGAAAGCCCACGTGAAGCAATGAAGACCCAATGCAGCCAAAAATAAATTAAAAAAAAAAACAAAAACACCTAAAAGACAATATCTTAAAAATATACAGTTTGGGAAGATAAAACAGTTCTGGAGCTGGATGGTGGTGATGGTTGCACAATGTGCACAATGGTTGCACAATGAATATACTTAATACCACTGAAATGGACACTCAAAAAGGGTTATTAACATGGTAGAATTGTTGCTATGTATACTTGACCATGATTTAAGAAACTGATAGGATTGAAAGGAAAAAAATCAGAATATAACTATCCATGAAGCAGAAAAAGACTAGGCGGATCTAAAACATCAACTCTTAATGACAACCCTGGTTTGTCATCAACTCTTAATGACAACCCTGTTTCTGTAACTTATTTTTTTAAACATTGAATTGGGATTGATTTTGGATAAGGAAGGAAATGGAATGTGGGGCTTCTGGCAGCAGGTGGTTAGCCACCTGGCTGCTTTCTCCCAGCCCGGCCTTCTCTCAGCTCTGAAGCCAGGCCACCTGAGGGCGGGTAGTCCTGAGGGTCTGGGCTGGGGGAGCCTCCTCTCTCCATCGGGGGCACTGAGACAAGTAAGAGGGCTCTGGGGAAGCTGGGGGCAGCCGTGGGCGGGCGGCCTCTCCATCCTGGGCTCTCCTGCCCCAGCCCCTGCGCCGACCACCAGGCCCACTGACTTCGGCTCTGCAGGGACCAAGCCTGGTTGCTGGACCCTTCGAGGGGTCTCCAGCCCAGGGCGGCTCACCACCTCCACTGCTGACCCCCACCCAGAGCCACCAGCAGCACTCGCCTGGGGCTCCGCAAGCCCTGCTCGTGTGTCCCCCAGATGGGTCTACTTAGAACCCTCCAGAGTCTCCTCTGCGCTCGGAACAAAGCTTCTGCCAACCTCAGGACCTTGTCTCACCCCATCCACTGCTGCGGGAGGGCTGGGCCCCTGACCCCCGTGTGACCGGCTCCTCCAAGAGGCCTGGGGTGTGGGCAGGTCAGGACAGGCCTCTCAGAGGAGGGGACATATAAGCAGAGCCCAGAAGGACCCAAAGGAGCCGGCAAAGCCTGGGGCAGAGTCCAGGCAGCGAGCACGTACTCTTACCATGGACATATTTCTACTTGGGAATATTTCTGATGTTGGTGGGGCATTCGCTGGGTCAGATGAATGGGCTTTACCCGGGCTCCAGGCCCCCCGCCCGCCACGGCTGAGAGCCTAAGCCCCCTGGCTCTGGGCACTCCGTGTGCTGCTGGGACAGAAGGGAGACGTACCGCTGGGCGTGGCGAACTGGATGAGGACGCTGTTGCAGCCCAGGGTGATGATGAAGGACTGCTTGCCCACACGGCTGCACTCCGTCTCCCGGGACACCGAGCACTTGAACACACAGACGTCTTCATCTGCGAGAGGAGGGAGGCGGGCGTAAGCCGCCAGGTGCCGGGGCCACCTTCCCCCCCACCACGGCACCCCAGATTCTTCCAGGGTGCCACAACACCCGCCCCACAAGCGCTGCCATGTGCCCTGCCTGCCCAGCCTACGCTGAGGATGAGGCGGTGGCTGATCAGCATCCCCAGCGGGGACACAGGATGCAGTCTGTCCAGCAGGAGAGGACAGGTGTCCACAGGGCAACCGGGGCTGAGGTGAGGGGACGGGGAGTTGCAAGGCACTGGGGGGCCCAGGGGGCACGTTCCCTCACGGAGCACCTGCTGGTGCCAGCCCCATGTCGCTCCTGGGCACTGAGGTGGGAAGACACAGGGGAGAGAAGGCCAAGCCTGGCAGGTTCAGAGGGTCACAGGAACCCAGCGGGCAGCCCAGGCCCAGCTGAGGGAGTCAGGCCTTCAGCCACCAGCCCCTCCGTGTCACACGGGGGCGTCGTCGGCCTTCAGAGCTGAGCAGGGGTGGGCGGGGGTCAAGAAAGAAATGCCAGTGGCGCCTCTGCTTCCTCCCGCTGAGCCCCTTCCTTCTTGCATGTATTGTGAGTGTGGCCACAGGACCCAGATGGCCTGTGTTCACGCCCCACCTACTCCACTTAGTGTGTCACCAGGGCAGGTCTGAGTCCTCAGTTTTCTCATCTGTCAAGCGGGACCAACGGTGGGACAGGGGTCAGGCCCAACACACGCATACAGGAAGCACTGCATCCCCGCACCCGCCACTACTACTGTTACTAGTCATTCACTCAACAAGCATGGGGCACCCCACCTCAGCCGAACCGTGAGACACAGCATGACCAGGAGACAAACCGACCCGAAGCTGTAGCCCTGACGTGGGGCAGCGGAACAGACACCCTGGTCCCATCACGAGGGGACAACAGACAGTGCCAGATCACAGGGCAGTCTGCAAGACAACCTCCCTGGTTGCCTCAAAACGGCCAAAGTCAGGAAAGGCAAAAATTGCTGGGAAGTATTCCAGAGTGAAGGAGGCTAAAGAGACGTGACCATCAAATGCCAGGTGTGGTCCTGGACTGCAGCCTAATGAACACCGTTCAACAGCTACAAAGGCCAAGTGGGGAAATATGTGGACTGCAGGAGCCATAACTTCAAATGATCTGGATGTGACAGGAGCATTATTCTGCAGAACAACAACGACAAAATATATTTATAGAGAGAAGCATGAGTACAAATGTGCAAAGTGTTCCCAATCACCCTCGTAACAGCCAAAACAATCTTGAAAAAAAAAACCAAAGCTGGAAGACTCACACTCCCCGATTTCAAAACGCACTACGAAGGTATGGTAATCAAAACAGAATAGTATTGGCAAATGGAGAGACATATACATCAATAGAATTAGAGTCCAGAATAAACCCTATGTTTATAGTCAATTGATTTTTTTGTTTGTTTGTTTTTTATTTTTTGGCCATGCCTCATGTGGGCCATGGCTCACGGGCCCAGCCGCTCCACGGCATGTGCGATTTTCGTTCCCTGACCAGGGATCGAACCCATGCCCCCTGCCTTGGAAGCACAGATTCTTAACCACTGGACCGCCAGGGAAGTCCCGTATAGCCCACTGATTTTTAACAAGGGTCCTGAGAACATTCAAGGGGCAGAAAATAGTCTCTTCAACAAATGGTGCTGGGACAGCTGGGTCTCCCTGTACAAGAGAATGAAGCTGGACTCCTACCCTCACACCATATATAAAACCTGACTCAAATTAATCAATGACCTAAACATAAGAGTGAAAACTATAAAACTCCTAGGAGAAAACAGAGGGGTAAATCTCTGAGACCTTGGATTTGGCAATGGATTCCTAGATATGACACCAAAAGCAAGAGTATCAAAAGAAAAACTACATAAACTGGACTTCATCAAAATTATAAACTTTTTGGGGAATTCCCTGGCGGTCCAGTGGTTAGGACTCGGTGCTTTCACTGCCAGTGGCCTAGGTTCGCTCCCTGGTTGGGGAACTAAGATCCTGAGAGCCATGCAGCATGGCCAAAAAAAAAAAAAAAAAAAAATTTTAAATAAACTTTCTGCATCAAAGGACACTATCAAAAAAGCGAAACGGGGGCTTCCCTGGTGGTGCAGTGGTTGAGAGTCCGCCTGCCGATGCAGGGGACACAGGTTCGTGCCCCGATCCGGGAAGATCCCACATGCCGCAGAGTGGCTGGGTCCATGAGCCATGGCCGCTGAGCCTGCGCGTCCGGAGCCTGTGTTCCGCAATGGGAGAGGCCACAACAGTGAGAGGCCCACATACCACACACACACACAAAAAAGCGAAACGACAACCTACAGAATGGAAGAAGATATTTACAAATCATATACCTGATAAGGATCTATTGTCCAGAATATATAAAGAACTCTTAACAACAAAAATATAACCCAATTCAAAAACGGGCAAAGGACTTGAAGAGATGTTTCTCCAAAGGTATACAAATGACCAGCATGTGAAAAGGTGCACGTCATCATTAGTCATCAGGGACCTGCAACTCAAAACCACAATTAGATACCACTGCACACCCAGCAGGACGGCTGTAATTTTAAACAAAAAAGGGGGAAATAACACGTGTTGGCAAGAAATTGAATCCCTCAGACCCTGCTGGTGGGAACTTAAAATGGTACAGCCGCACAGAATTACCATTTGACTCAGCGATCCCACTCGTTAGGTATATACCCCAAAGAATTGAAAGCTGGTATTCAAATGAATACTTGATGCAAATATTCAAAGTGTTACTATTCAAAACAGCCAAAAAGTAGAAACAACTCAGATGTCCATCAACTGATGACTGGATGAACAAAATGTGATCCATCCATACAATGGGATATCACTCAGCCATAAAAAGAAATAAGGTCCCAACCCACGGATGAGCCTCAGAAACTTTATGCTGAGTGACGGAAGCCAGACATAAAAGCTCACAGGTATATGATCCCATATATATGGAACATCCAGAACCAGTCAGTTCATAGAGACCGAAAGCAAAATTCGTGGTTGCCAGGGGCTGAGGGTGGGAGAATGGGGAATGACTGCTTAATGGAAACAAGGTTTTTCTCTTTGGATGATGAAAATATTTTGGAAATAGAGATGATGGTTACCTGATACTGTGAGTGCACTAAATGCAACTCAATTGTTTTATGCTATGTGAATTTTATCTCAATAGAACAAGAAAAATGTTCCCAATGGGTGAATCTGGATGTGAAGGGCCTACGGGTGTCCGCTGGGCCCCTTGCTCTCCCCTTGTTTAGTGTGAGCCCTAAGCCTGGGCCACAGCCTGGAGGAGGCTCCTGGGGCCACAGCCTGGGTTTCTGCCAGATGACCTCCCACCTCTGGAGCCAGGTGCCACCTCCTGGAGGGAGGGGGGAGCAGGGCACAGGCAGCCTCCTGACAGCGGGCAGGAGGGAAGAGCGGATTGGGAGGCCAGCCCCGGGCTCACAGCCACGCCACACCCACAGGGGACCCAAGACGAGGTGCTCCCAAGTCCAGCTATAAATGGGTCTCAGGAAGGGACCCGAAACCTTGACGTGGTACCCATGCCCACTCCTGGGGCAGAAAATAAAGCCGATCTGTCAGCTACTCCTGTGTGGCAGCGAGCAGACCAGGGAGGGCCTGTTTACAAAGCAGCCTGGCAACCCGACCAGCTGCCCTAGGCAGCCCCTGCAACCTGGCGCCAGGCAGGCGACCACAGGGACCTGTGGCTAAGGGAAGCTTGGCCGCATCCAGAGGCTCGGGCCAGGGAAGCCAGGGCTAAGGGCAACCTGAACTGTCCCATCACAGGTGGGACCACCAAAGCCCATGGTGCCAGCATTTTGTATAAGTCACAGCTATACACCCACAGGCCTGTCCCTGGCACACACGGGATGCTAGGTAAATATATGACAAACCAAAAAATAATTTTAAAAAGCCGGACCAGGCTCCTACCTCTTTTAAAGTCTCAGGAGAAGTCCAAGCTCTCGGACTGGCAGTCAAGGACCTCCCCTCCCCAGCCCCTTCCCATGGCCATGCCCAGCGCCCCAGTCCCCAGTGGGCAGGGCTCTGCACCTTTGGTCCATCACTGTTCCCCTCCCCATCCCCTCACTGGGAGGGGGCCCCCAGGACAGTGGGCAGAAGTGGTGGCGCTGGGCCTATCCCAGCCAGGTGGTGAAGCCTGCCTCCTGGGCCCCGGGGGAGGGGTTCCTGGGAGAGGGCTTCTCCCCCCAGGAAAGGGGCCCGGAGCCCACAGGGCCCAGACCCAGCAGTGGGCATGTGGTGCAAGAGGCAGAACTGGTCTCTGTGCCCTGCCTCCAGAAACGAAGCCAGAAAGCACCACCCTGGTCACACCAGCCGGCACATTCGGGGGCTGTTGCAGGTACGCGGCCCCGGAGAGGTGGGGACAGGAAGCGGGAGAGGGGCTGGCAGACTGCCGCGTCGCTCTAACTGGGGGCGACCACAAAGGGGGCTGCAGGCCAGGAGGCTGTGCTGGGATCCCCTCCGCAGCCAGGTAGGGCAGAGCCGGTCTCCCTCTTCCCTGAAGTGATGGGATGGGAGGGCTGAGCAGTGAACAGGCTCCGCAGAGGCTCACCCAAGACGGGCTCTGAACGGTTTGAAACGAACTCGGCCCAAGGAGTATTAGTCATGCCGCAGCCATCACAAACGTGTCCACCCTGCTCCTGGACCCGGCCTGCCACCCCGGGCTGGCCTCCCAGCCACCACACTGCAGTCTGTCCCGCCCAGGCTCTGGGGCCAGGGGACGAGGGGCCGGAATAGCCAGGGACAAATCCACAGGCAATGCAGCGCTCAGGGTGCAGGGGGGGAGCTAGGAAAACCACCCCACCTGTCTTGCTCCCTGGGGAGCAAGGCCCCTGAATATCCAAGTCACAAACACTGAGCTTCCACAGGCGGCGTGGCCCAGCACCTACCCACTCACACCCTGCTGAGACCACGATGGGGCTGGGAGGCCAGACTGTGAGTAATAACTTCCCAGGTGCCAGGC